GATTGGATTATTTCAAACTTGAGGTGAAGCTGTTTTTAGACTTAAGGTATATTGGTGTTGTCTTCAGAATATGTACCTGTGCATCTTTTGGTCCTGTGCTCGGCTGTTATTTGCTTTCTAGTTTCGGTCTATGGTTTACCACGTAAATACAATGTTATTTTTAATGAGACATTGCCGTAATGGCATGTTAAAATTTTCCATCGTATTTTTGTCTCAGTATGGATTGGAGACTGTCCAAGAAATTGAAAGTTTTGGTACGAACGGTAAACGCATTGGTCATAAATACAAATAACTTTTTTTTCCTAAAATTCATACTAATGCCCTGCCAAGGATCACTCATAAGTCTTCATCAGGGAACGATGGTGACCTGTGACTCTTCCGTCAAACGTTGGATAAGCATGGTACAGTTTTTTGTTTTTATTTTGCACTAGAATCATAAGAGTTGGATTATAATATGTTTCCGATTTTGCTTATTCCGTCTGTTTGATTTTCACCTGGCTGGAAAAGGTGTCCTAAAGACAGCTAATTCAACATCTTCAAATAGGTGTAGGAGTTTGTTTAACAATATCAGTGCTTGTTCTGTCATAGAACGCACCGGAAAGGCGTTCCGTTACCTTTTTTCGACGGATTTTCCAAGTTTTAGCAGTTACTTTAGAAAATTTGATGTTTTGTCTACGTGCACTTGAATCGCCCAGGTCGGCGGAAAAATCATTAAAACGGTGCATGCGGGCTTGTCGACTAACATTAACAAGATGTGAGTTGTGGCACCTTTTTTCTTCCAAAAAAGCACTGACAGTACTTATCAGAGTTCGATATTAAAACAACAGAGAAAACTCCTCATTGGAACTAAACTCAGCAGCATTATCCCTTCTCTAGAATATAAAAGCTAACTTGCAGTAGTCGTTCTCGTTTCCGTGATAAATGCAGGCGGTTGTTATTATTCCTTCATTCCACAGATTAATCACAAGCTGCTGAGCATCTTTGTCGTTCAGACTTTGTTAGCTATAATTGATGAAGATAATAGCAGTCCTTCTGGTGTAATGTGAGAACGTCCATTTGCTTTAAATTAAATGTATTTCAAGATCTGTCAGGCCCAGATTTTAAGGGAATACATTTAACCTCATGGTCCGGTGTCATCGCGAGATCAGGTTTGCAAGGATGTTGGTGGTTTCCTTACCACTACTCGCCGTTAACCGTTTCTACTTACCTGGTACTCGGTTATCATCGAGTGAACAACTGTTCGTCGATTTCGCAATATTTCGACGTTTATGGCCTTCAAAAACCGCTAGTTTTTCTGTATTCAGTTTCCTGTGGGGTCATGTGCATATCTTAAAATATAAGGTCAGCGCTTTGTGACATTAGCATCTACGGTCTTTTGTTTCTGTTTTGATCTTAAATTGGGTTTATCGTTTTGTTTCCTCCGGATATGTCCTTTAATCTTCAGGGCAATCCACTCGACTCTGATGCGCCAGAGTTGCATAAAGGATTTACAAAATCCAGCGGTTCAAAAAAGCGAACAACTCTGAAGAAGGTGAGGTATTCTTTTCGAATAACTTTTCAAGGACACTGGTTTTTATCT